CTCTACTCTACTCTACCCTACTCTACCCTACCCTACCCTACTCTCTACTCTATCCTTCTCTACTCTACTCTACTCTACACTACCCTACTCTACCCTACTCTACTCTACTCCACTCTACACTACCCTACTCTACCCTACCCTACCCTACTCTCTACTCTATCCTTCTCTACTGTACTCTACTCCACCCTTCCCTACTCTACTCTACTCTACTCTACCCAATCCTACACTACTCAACTCTACTCAACCCTACTCTACTCTACTTTTCTATACTCTACTCTACTCTACACTACCCTACTCTACCCTACCCTACTCTACTCTACTCCACCCTTCCCTACTCTACTCTACCCTACCCTACACTACTCTGCTCTACGGAGTGAGCAGGCCTCTGCTCAGGACTTTTTATGACTCTGTTGTAGCTTCTGCCATTTACTACACTGCCGTGTGTTGGGCCCCGGGCAGCACAGAGCGGGACAGAAACAGACTGAACAAGCTGGTCAGGAGGGCCAGCTCCACTCTGGGCTGCTCCCTGGACTCTGTGGAGGAGGTGAGGGACAGGAGGGTGCTAGCCAAAGCCACCTCCATCATGAACAATACCTCCCACTGCACAGGACTGTAGAGGAGCTGAGGAGCTCCTTCAGTGGAAGACTGAGGCACCCTCAGTGTAGGAAGGAGCGCTACCGCAGGGCCTTTATCCCCACCGCTGTCAGACTGTACAATAAGTCACTTTAAATGATCACTGTGTGAAAACCTGCACTATTGACACTGTTTCCAATTGACACTTGTCACTTTTGTTGTACATAATTATTGTCACTTTTATTGTACATATTATTTATTTATTTTATTTATTTATTTATACTTTATTAAGGACTCACATGCAAGCACAGGATCCATAGCTAAGAATAATGAGAGAAAAGTAAAAAAAAAACGTATATCCTGCATGTAACATGTTTGCACATTTCCTCCTTTTGCACAATCTGAGTGTTCTATCCATGCCAAATGTGACATGTACATTTCTCCTCTGTGAGATAAATAAAGCACATCTTATCTTATCATCTTACTCTACTTTTCTATACTCTATTCTACGCTACCCTACCCTACTCTACTCTACTCTACCCTACTCTACTCTACCCTGCCCTACTCTACTCTACTCTACCCTACACTACTCAACCCTATTCTACTCCACTCTACACAATACTCTACCCTACCCTACCCTACTCTACTCTACCCTACTATACTCTACTCTATTCTACTCTACTCTATACTCTACCCTATCCTACCCTTACTCTACTCTACTTTACTCTACTCTACTTTACCCTACTCTACCCTGCTCTACTCAACCTACCCTTCCCTATTCTACTCTACTCTATCCTTCTCTACCCTACACTACTCTACACTACACTACACTTCACTACTTTCCTATACTCTACCCCAATTGGGAGCATTTCACTGACCCTGTTTACTTCTTTTGTCCCTCTTGGTCCTGGTTCTATCCAGGCCGAGCTGGTACTGAAGTACTGCTGGAAGCTATGGCTACCAAGGAATGTTGCCAGATATTGGTTTGTTGTGGATAGGTTGGGGTGGTAGTATGAGGTACCAGATACAAAGGGCAATGAAAACACAACCAGGAAGGGTAGGGCAGAGTAGGGTAGGTAGGGTAGGGTACCAGTAGAGTAGGGTATAGGGTAGGGTAGGGTACCAGTAGAGTAGGGTATAGTGTAGGGTAGGGTAGGGCTGGTGGAAATGAGGCTCATGTCACTGTAGTTCCTGGCTCTAAAAAGTGTGTTTCTCTCTATAGTTTTCACATGTTCAGTATGTTTGTCACATCCTTCAATCAGATTTTTCAGTTAAAAAAGGAGATTTCATATATAAGATTATCCCAGCATTTTAAATTCACTTCACTTTCACTTCAAATTCTATGTACCTTTCGATCGCCAAATATGTATCACACCAGTCATATTGGAGGACTTCACAAAGTTAGGTGCTATTGGTCCATAGCAGAGAACAGGACGACCACTGACCACAAAAGTCCCTGGTCCTCACGGTCCTTAGACCCACCTGCATCAGCCTGGAACCATCTTTAGACAAACATAAATGCAGTGGGGAGTAAATGAGGAACAATTAAATATTTTTTCTATATTTTTTCATTCTCTCTGTTTTCTTGAGAGAATCTGCTTAAAAATGTGGTTTATTACTCTATTTAAACAAGCTATAACCGATTTTTTTTTACTACATCCATAATATTAATGTAAAACTTGAGCTCCTTGATTCAGCTGTGTATGAATTCAGGCGTAAAAAGTGCTGAGTAGAGACTTAGCGTGACGCCCGCTCTCCTCCAATCACAGAAAGAGGCTGCGTCCTCTAGCCTCTACAGCGCTGCTAACCACAGTAGCATGTTAGCATAAGTGGCTATAACTCCACTGGCTGTAACTGCAGACACAGCAAAACAGCCCAAACCACACAACAGTTAAGAAGAGAAGAGGGAACTAAAGCCAAAACATGATCAAAGAAGAAACCAAGCCCTGAACAGAGCTAGCTTACATCGTATCCTCTGGAGAGACTGGTCTATGGGAGAGACCTGCGGGACCGCCTCGGACTATCTACGCTCGGACTATCTACGCTGGGACTATCTACGCTCGGACTATCTACGCTCGGACTATCTACGCTGGGACTATCTACGCTCGGACTATATATGCTCGGACTATCTACGCTCGGACTATCTACGCTGGGACTATCTACGCTCGGACTATCTACGCTCGGACTATCTACGCTCGGACTATCTACGCTGGGACTATCTACGCTCGGACTATATATGCTCGGACTATATACGCTCGGACTATCTACGCTCGGACTATATATGCTCGGACTATCTACGCTCCGACTATCTACGCTCGGACTATCTGCGCTCGGACTATATATGCTCGGACTATCTACGCTCGGACTATCTACGCTCGGACTATATATGCTCGGACTATCTACGCTCGGACTATCTGCGCTCGGACTATCTACGCTCGGACTATCTAATCTCGGACTATCTATGCTCGGACTATCTATGCTCGGACTATCTACGCTCGGACTATCTACGCTCGGACTATCTACGCTCGAACTATCTACGCTCGGACTATCTACACTCGGACTATCTGCACTCGGACTATCTACGCTCGGACTATCTACGCTCTGACTATATATGCTCGGACTATCTACGCTCGGACTATCTGCACTCGGACTATCTACGCTCGGACTATCTGCACTCGGACTATCTACGCTCGGACTATCTATGCTCGGACTATCTAATCTCGGACTATCTAATCTCGGACTATCTATGCTCGGACTATCTATGCTCGGACTATCTACGCTCGGACTATCTACGCTCGGACGCTCGGACTATCTACGCTCGGACTATCTACGCTCGGACTATCTATGTTCGGACTATCTACGCTCGGACTATCTACGCTCGGACTATCTACGCTCGGACTATCTACGCTCGGACTATCTATGTTCGGACTACATTCGGACGTGAAACTAGCGGTAATCTTTCAGTTATATATATTGTTAGCAGTGCGTTGCTTTTGTACCATTTCATCAGTGATTGTTGTACAGCTTAAGTTGCGCTAATGCTAATGTTAGCATATAGATCGCAAAAAAAAACTATATGGCTCCGTGGGATGAGAGCGTAGGGGAAATGAGAAGCCTGTGAGCGAGTTGGGGGCGGGGCTAAACATTCAAACCTTGCAGAAACGGGTATAGCTCCTTTAACATCATTTCAAAGGGCAATGACAATGAACCTCTACCAGATAAAGCTATTTTAAGGCCACGAAGTAGGATTTTCGAGGGCACAAAATGGTCTCCATCTGTTTGTTTGTCTGTTTGTGTTTGCCTCCATCCTGCAGTCAGTGATGAGGTGCAGACGTCCAGAACAAAGTGCATATTGTTGTTTTGTTTGACACAGTAAAACAAGAGCGAGAACAGTTTAAATATGAATAAGATCCGTGCTATAATTATAGTGGCTTGAATCTATTACCTAATCTAACCTAACCAGGTTAGACTTTAGCTCAACTTTGGGAGAAATGGGTCAAACTCCAACACAAATCTCTGAAGGAAAAGTTACTAAATTGTTTTTTTCCGAGTCCTAATTGCTCGTCCGTCCTCTACAAGTATCGATTGTGACTGAAAACCGGGCAAGACCTCAGAATAATCAGTATTCTAACCCGGCAACGCCACGCTCCCATGTCCACATTATGCCAACGCTTCACAGTCGGAGCAAAAACAATTCACAGGCTGCGATGGAAGGTCGGAGAAGCCACTTTTTAATTTCTCAGGCAGCTGTCGAGGGCGAATGCTAATGTTAAAGAAAGACGACCGAGAAAATACGCTTTTGGAATAAGAAAAGTGGAGGCGGAAAAACAAGACCCAGGGACAAACTTTGATTATATTGTAGTAATTGTCAGTAAAAGTGTTTTTATTTAATGACCATACAGGATTTTGCTTCTTTCTATAGATTTTACTCTTGCTTCTTCATTATGCTAAAGCTAGAAATTTTGTACTAGCTTCTTTGTTATGCTAAAGCTAGAAATTTTGTACTAGCTTCTTTATTATGCTAAAGCTAGAAATGTTATACTAGCTTCTTTGTTATGCTAAAGCTAGAGATCTTATACTAGCTTCTTTGTTATGCTAAAGATAGAGATTTTATACTTGCTACTTTATTGGGCTAATGCTAGATTTTATACTAGCTTCTTTATTATGCTAAAGCTAGAGTTTTTTTTTTTACTTCATCTTAAAGGGGAAGTCAGCAGAGTCAAAACAAAGGAAACCTTGCTTCTATAGGACTCATTATAGAGACACAGACTCTTTCTGACGGTTGTTCATTTCTATACATCTGATTTATGGCGTTGTAGAGAACATGCATTTGTCGGATTACATGCTGTAGATTCCGCTGTCAGACACACAACTCTACTCTGTTACACTTTACATATTGTGTTGAGAGATTTATGATCGGGGGGAGAATGCAAGCCGAGACCAAGCTCCAACCGGTCCAAGCCCAATCCAATCAGTAACTTTTGTATTCAACATTGATGCTGATTTTATAATGATGGAAGCTGAGTCCACGACCTGTCAGAGAGAGGCCAGAGAAAGAATGCGGTAATAAAAGTTTTGTATTCAATATTCAACATTTTTGATACATTCGAAGTTTCTATTTAGCCCCTTGACCTTTTTGATTTTAAAACCGGTTGAGTGTGTCCCTGGTCTTCCCACGCACAGACAAAACTTATTTTTCAGTATGAAGCTTAAGCGCAAATTCAGACTGGAAGACCAACGGCACGTCCTGCTGCCACACATCTACACTGACTCCTCCCCTTACACTGACTCCTCCCTCTACACTGACTCCTCCCTCCACTGACTCCTCCCCCTACACTGACTCCTCCCTCTACACTGGCTCCTCCCTCTACACTGGCTCCTCCCGCTATACTGACTCCTCCCTCTACACTGGCTCCTCCCTCTACACTGGCTCCTCCCTTTACACTGACTCCTCCCTCTACACTGGCTCCTCCCTCTACACTGACTCCTCCCTCTACACTGGCTCCTCCCTCTACACTGACTCCTCCCTCTGCACTGACTCCTCCCGCTTCACTGGCTCCTCCCCACTACACTGACTCCTCCCTCTACACTGGCTCCTCCTTCTACACTGGCTCCTTCCTCTACACTGACTCCTCCCTCTACACTGGCTCCTCCATCTACACTGACTCCTCCTTCTACACTGACTCCTCCCTCTACACTGGCTCCTCCCTCTACACTGACTCCTCCCTCTACACTGGCTCCTCCCTCTATACTGACTCCTCCCTCTACACTGGCTCCTCCCTCGACACTGTCTCCTCCCTCTACACTGACTCCTCCCTCTACACTGGCTCATCCCGCTATACTGGCTCCTCCCTCCACACTGACTCCTCCCTCTACACTGGCTCCTCCCTCTACACTGACTCCTCCCTCTGCACTGACTCCTCCCGCTTCACTGGCTCCTCCCCACTACACTGACTCCTCCCTCGACACTGGCTCCTCCTTCTACACTGGCTCCTCCTTCTACACTGGCTCCTCCTTCTACACTGGCTCCTTCCTCTACACTGACTCCTCCCTCTACACTGGCTCCTCCATCTACACTGACTCCTCCCTCGACACTGGCTCCTCCCTCTACACTGGCTCCTCCCTCTACACTGGCTCCTTCCTCTACACTGACTCCTCCCGCTACACGGACTCCTCCCTCTACACTGGCTCCTCCCCCTACACTGACTCCTCCATCTACACTAACCCCTCCCCCTACACTGACTCCTCCCTCTACACACCTGTGCTCATCATGGCAGAATTTAATCCGAGCCTCTCAGTTCACTGCAGCTCAAGCGCTGTTCAAGCAGCAACCCCCCTCCTCCCCATCACCGCCTCTTCAGTGAGTATCAAGTTATGTATTTGTCTTAGCGTCTTTGCCACCAGGGTCTAGACCGATGCGTAAGGACGTTTCTATTAAACTTCCTTCTGCAGACGTCATGCATTATTCCCGCCGGGGTCTAATCACCAAAGCTTATCAGTAAATATAATAATACTCAATCTATGTCTGCTCGTGCTTATTCATGCGTCTCCACAATAAACATTCTAATGCAATCTTTGTCTCACGTCTCTCTAGATTGATATACCCTTTTGTTGATTTTTTTATGACTTTTGTGAATATTTAAAAGCAAATCATAGCAATCATAAAAAATTAGTTTCTTCTTATGTGTGCAGGATGTTTAGGCACACACTAAACCTGTTATGAAATCAAAAGGTGAAGGGGCTTTGACACAACGACATACAATTCATTACAGTTCGATTCAATGCATTCTTGTATCGCCCTAATTCATAGTAGTTTTCTCGGAGGACGTTGCAAAGCTGTCGATTCACCAACAACAGATCAGAGAATCAAACAGTTCAAACACAAGGAATGCAATGATTTAAAACACAGATAGAGCCAGTTTAAAAATCCCATCTTAAAACTTAAAACTGCCAGAACTCCTTGCCCTCGATCACAAGAACTATAAAGAAAACAGGACATGGAAATGGGACATAGGTTTTTGAGGTTACATTGAGGTAATAATAAAATGGTGAGGCTGCACTAGTCAGATCTACTCATCAATCACCACAAATTGACTTAGACCTAGCATCTAAAGCAAGTATTTAGACCTAGCATCTAAAGTATGTATTTAGCATTAGCATCTAAAGTGAGTATTTAGACCTAGCATCCAAAGTATTTATTTAGCATTAGCATCTAAAGTGAGTATTTAGACCTAGCATCCAAAGTATTTATTTAGCATTAGCATCTAAAGTATTTATTTAGCATTAGCATCTAAAGTATGCACTAATATTGCAGTCAGCCAGATGCCAGGAGAGGTCAAGGGCTATTTTCACAAGTCGTCTCCAATCATCGCCACTATGCAGGCCCTGACAAGTCAGTTAACACGCTCTCAATAAATAGGACTCCCAGAATAATGAGACTACAGGAACATGTTGACTCATTCAAACCAATGGGATTCAGAGAAATTGCCCCAAAATATTGACATGGAATTAACTTGAGAAAAATGGGACTAAACTGGACATTTTCAAAATTAGAGCATAATATAAGTTACCACATAAGGCAGATGCTAGCTGTTTTTCTACCCCCTGAAATATGTTTGAAGCTCATTCCACTTCCTGTTTTTTATTCTACCACAAAACAAAAATGTGTTCATTGAAACTGTTCACTGTTCTACGTACAAACAATTATGTTTAAAAATCTGTTGGACACGTTTTGCATGTTTTCTCATGACTTATGTTCATATGTAGTAGTAGTAGTAGTAGTAGTAGTAGCAGTAGTAGTAGTAGTAGCAGTAGCAGTAGTAGTAGTAGTAGTAGTAGTAGTGGTAGGGGTAATAGTAGTAGTAGCAGTAGTAGTAGTAGTAGTAGTAGTAGTAGTCATAGTAGTAGTAGTAGTGGTAGCAGTAGTAGTAGTAGTTGTAGCAGTAGTAGCAGTAATAGTAGTAGTAGTAGTAGTAGTAGTAGTCATAGTAGTAGTAGCAGTAGTAGTGGTAGCAGTAGTAGTAGTAGTAGCAGCAGTAGTAGTAGTAGTAGTAGTAGTAGTGGTAGCAGTAGGCGGCACGGTGGCTGAGTGGATAGCACTCTCGCCTCTCAGCAAGAAGGTCCTGGGTTCGAATCCCAGTCGAACCAGGGCCTTTCTGAGTGGAGTTTGCATGTTCTCCCCGTGTCTGCGTAGGTTTCCTCCGGGTACTCCGGTTTCCCCTACCACTAAAAATATGTCCAATAGTTCTAGCATGCGCCTCCTGTACTGGCGACCCTGCTCCCATCTCTGTGTGGAGTGAGTGACAAATGCCCAAAAATTAAAGGAGCAATATGTAAAAATCTGGCCAAAAGTGGTACTGCAGTCACAGTCAATATTTTGTAGTCCTCTCCCACTCTCCCTGACTCAGGTTGCCAGATTCACACCAAATCCAGCAGCAAACACAGGGAATTATTTTATCAGTTGTTTGTCCGTCTCCATTCACATTGCCATGACAGCCGTGCTAATGCTGAATGAATGTTTTGATTAATGTTTTTTTATTATTATTATTTGGACATTTGAGATAAAAAACAAAAACAAAATAAAAGCAATGTAATTATACATAGTTTATGCAAAATAAATAAGCAATTGATGTCCAAAATAGGAGTGGGAAGAATGGATGTTGGAACGTATTTCTTCAGCGTATCAACATCAGGGTTTGCTCAAGAGGATATCACCTTTTAATTTTATTTATTCCCTATTTTTTAGACAAACATGTAAAAGTCCCACATCAAAAAGAGACTAACATTATTTTAATTGGGGTACATGTGGTCTTAAATGATTATTTTTACAATTAAGCTATAATCTGCAAAAAAACGTCTTGACCTTCATCTTTTACCGTTTTTAGAGCAATCTGTCATAGAATGTGATAACATGCAATAAATACAAAAAGACATAGCCCGGGATCGAACCCGGGGTCCTGCATCGTAAACGCACAGCTTAGACCACTACACCAACGATTCACACGAGTAGAGATACTGTGAAGAACGGAGTGAAACTAGAAAATTCTGCATCACACGTGAACTTTTATCAGCTGTCTCAATTGTTCAAAGGCATCCCGATATAAATCCTCGTTTTAGTCTTTGTTTTGTCATTAATGATTTGAGAGTCATAACAAGACCTTTTTTAGTTCTGCGCCACATGTTATTTTACCACTGAGATTAGTGAGCCGCGCGGAGTTCTGGCAACACGATCACGGACTTACATGACACTTCCTGATTGGCGAAACGGCAGAGGGTAGGACATCAAAATCAAAACAATAACAACTTTTACGGGTCGTAAAACTAATTTTGATAATCAAATATCTCGGCTGAACTACTGTTATCAGTTAAAGATGAATTCGAAAAGAGTATGATTTAATAACGCCTTTTGAAATATTCGGGTCATTTAATGATGACTTGAAATGCAAATATTACATATTGCTCCTTTAACAATTGTAAACCGCTTTGAGACTCAGATCTGCAGTGAAAGGCGGTATATAAATAAAGATTACTAAAGATTACTAGTAGTAGTAGCAGCAGCAATTGTAGTAATAGCAGTAGTAGTAGTAGTAGTAGTAGCAGTAGCAGTAGCAGTAGTAGTAGTAGTAGTAGTAGCAGTAGTAGTAGTAGTAGCAGTAGTAGTAGTAGTAGTAGTAGCAGCAGTAGTAGTAGTAGTAGCAGTAGTAGTAGCAGTAGCAGTAGTAGTAGTAGTAGTAGTAGTATCAGTAGTAGTAGTAGTAGTAGCAGTAGTAGTAGTAGTAGTAGTAGTAGTAGTAGTAGTAGTAGTAGTAGTAGCAGCAGCAGTAGCAGTAGTAGTAGTTAAATGAATGCTTGGATATGATAAAACCTGATTAAATAAAATTTCATTCATAATTAGTCGGATTATTCCCAATATTCCCCGTCTTCAGTTCCTACGGAAATGTAACAAACATTTTTTCCTGAAATTGACCGGTAACTGTCTGCCTCTTTGCAGCCTGTAGTTAAATCTGAAGAAAACAAGTGGGGAACTCTCTCCTCTCTTCGCTGAGTCAGGGCTGAGTCTACATTAGTCTGCAGTATACATACAGAGACATACTCAGAGACGGGAGGTTGTTAGTTCTATTCCGGGATGTTTGCGTCGTCACAGCAGATGTCTCGGTCTGTAATAATGCGACGGTAGGATCCATGTTTCTGCAGCGGGGTCTGTATCTGGGCCAGGCTCCGGTCCGCCGAGACTCGAGGTAAGAAAGTGAGAGCTCCCATTATATGTCACCTCAAAGAAGGACGAGAAACTATGTCTTTATGTGTAGAAAAAAGACAGATCCAGCCAAATCTCTGACTAATACACTCCATCTCCTTCCTGCCGTCGTCACACAGAGCTGAGTAATACGAAGGATGGTTAGACGACAGGGAGGGACGATGGATGGACGGAAGAACAGAACAGGTTAACGAGAGACCGGTCCATATGGTGCATGTGACCTGAACTCTTGAATCTAGTGTTTGCAGAGGGTTTTTAGTAAGTATTGACAACTTTGTAACGTCCTACATGTACGTCTGGTCTTACCATGTGTAAACTCTGGTCCATGATCATCTCCTACATGTACGTCTGGTCTTACCATGTGTAAACTCTGGTCCATGATCATTTCCTACATGTACGTCTCGTCTTACCATGTGTAAACTCTGGTCCATGATCATCTCCTACATGTACGTCTGGGTCTGATCCTAGTGGCTGCAGTTCCCTCGGTTGAATCCCCTCCGACCAATCAGAGAGCGAGGGAGGCGGGTGTTGTAGGTCGGTGTCGGTGACGTCAAGAGTTTGTGCTGAATTTGCTGGTTGTAGTTTGTCGGAGAATGCGATAGTAAAATAATCTGTTCTGGTTCAATCCAAATATCAAGAAACTGAAGCTGTAGCAAGAAGAATGTTTAATAAATGTCATTGTTGTAAAGATGTTGTGGCTCTAAGCTCCCCGAGGGCTCTGTTAGTGGCAAAGGAGATGGCTAAAGCTAGGCTATGGTGGCTTAGTGGATAGCACTCTCGCCTCTCAGCAAGAAGGTCCTGGGTTCGAATCCCGGTTGGACCAGGGCCTTTCTGAGTGGAGTTTGCATGTTCTCCCTGTGTCTGCGTAGGTTTCCTCCGGGTGCTCTGGTTTCCCCTACCACTAAAAATATGTACAATAGGTCTGGCATGTGCCTCCTGTACTGGCGACCCCGCTCCCAAAAATCACAATTGTAAACCGCTTTGAGACTATATAAATAAAGATTAATACTGCTACATGCTAAAGCTAGGCTAAATGCTAAATGCCTCACTCACTCGGGCTAATTACATACTTCACGGTAAACTCAGATCGTTTCAATCTGCAAAAGGAGTAAACCCCTCCCACCTGTTAATGGAGAAAATCCAGACCCTAATAGGAAATGAAATGAGTACGATGGTACGGTAAGACCAGGCTACAAACAACCAGACTTTGGTCGACGTAACTTGACTGCTGCCACTGAGGATAAACAGTGCTAGTTTTAGATACGGTATTATTCTTTAAGTGGAATCAAAAGACGTTTTTTCAGCTCAATGTACTTTCATATGACATTCAGATTTCTGCACAAAAACTCAGTACCCATGCTTTTGTTGTTTATATAAAGGTATCTGTGAAAGGTCACTGAGGATATATGTGTAGTCCGCTGGGCCGCGCTCATAGACGAAAGAAAGACATTCCAGGAAAAAAAATACCCCGGTAAAGTTAACGGCAACGAGAAGATTCACACAAACTTTAAGCAAAAATCACGACATTTTCAAAACTTTTCATGTCAGTGTCAGCCTGGTCTTAACATACCATTGTACTCATTTCAGTTTCAATGTCATACATGAATTCTCTATGTCTCTTTCCCCCCAGAGACTAAAAAAAAATCCATCAAGCGTAAATTGCCCGATCAGCAGTTTCCACAGACCCCCTGGCGAGCTGGGGTCAGAGCCGACAATGTGAGAGTGTCTCTGTGTGAAGGTGGGAGAGGGGGACTGCAGTGGTGCATGCTGGGACAGTGCATTGCAGCGGTGGGATGGGACGAGCTCGGTGACCTTGCAGAGGGCGATGGAACCAGGGGATGGATGGAGAACGATCATGGTCAATTCTTATGTGCTTGTGTGAGAGAGAGAGAGAGAGACCAGAGAGAGACCAGAGAGAGACCAAAGGAAGACCAGAGAGAGACCAGAGGGAGACCAGAGAGAGACCAGAGAGAGACCAAAGGAAGACCAGAGAGACCAGAGGGAGACCAGAGAGAGACCAGAGAGAGACCAAAGGAAGACCAAAGGAAGACCAGAGAGAGACCAGAGAGAGACCAGAGGGAGACCAGAGGGAGACCAGAGGGAGACCAGAGGGAGACCAGAGAGAGACCAGAGAAACCAGAGAGAGAGAGACCTGAGTGAGACCAGAGAGAAAACAGAGAGAGACCAGAGAGAGAGAGAGACCAGAGGGAGACCAGAGAGAGACCAAAGGAAGACCAGAGAGAGACCAAAGGAGGACCAGAGAGAGACCAGAGAGAAACCAGAGAGAGAGAGACCAGGGAGAGACCAGAGGAAGACCAGAGAGAGACCAAAGGAAGACCAGAGAGAAACCAGAGAGAGTATGGGACATGCAGCTGATGCAGGGTCACAACTAGGTCAAGCTGCAGCAGTAAAACCTGATGCTGCAACAGTGTCAGCTCTCAGCCAATCACATCACGGCGTCGCTACAGTCGAGCTGCTCGGTTCCTCGCATCAAAATCACAATTAGAGAATCTCAACGGAACAGAACAGACAAGGCTTTAGTCCGAGCAAAGAACGGACATGTGTTTGCATCGAACAGTAAGACATAAGGAACTCAAAGTGCAAACCAACAAGAAGCTATCACACAACACAAAAATAAAAATAAATACAGTACATTAGAAAGAGTGAAGACACAATCCTACTTTTTTTTTTTTTTTACAATTTATTTCCTCAAGTTTTCTTTCAACACATAACTGAAAGGGGAGAAAACAAAGCAAGACAATAAAAATAAATAAAGGACGAGCAGGAGTCCCAGAGTCAGTCCCTGTGCTCCTCAGAGTCCCAGCAGAAGGCCAGTCCCTGTGCTCCTCAGAGTCCCAGCAGGAGGCTAGTCCCTGTGCTCCTCAGAGTCCCAGCAAGAGGCCAGTCTGTGTGCTCCTCAGAGTCCCAGCAGGAGGCCAGTCCCTGTGCTCCTCAGAGTCCCAGCTCGAGGCCCGCCCCCTACAGACCAGGCTTCTCTGTGTCTTTATGTAAGTGTTATGTGTTATATATAAGTGTTTATGTGTTGTATTTTAGAGCTATACACAAATAAATGAAATAGAACAGAATAGATAATAGCTGCAGTAACTTTTGTCGCTGTGACGACTGACTCTGGAGATAAAATAGTCCTTCAAAGGTTCATTCAAACTTTCTTCTTTCATTAACAATATTCTTTCCTCAGTGGAATCAAACATGTTTCACGGCTCGATACACTTTCATACGACATTCAGACGCAGCATGAAACTTCTGACCCGGTGAGTCCCGAGCATATGGAGCACAGCCTCGTGTCCTGATGACAAATGTTACAGGGACCTCAGGGACCTCACCATCGACCCCAGACAACGCCAGCTCCAGAAAGCTTTATGACCTTTGTGCACCGGGATGTATGTGAAATATACTGTAGGCTTTTCATCATGTGTTTTTGTGTGTTTCTTCAATGTGTCTCTGGGTGTTTTCTATAGGGATGTACCGAATCCAGATTATTGGGGTTCGGCCGAATACTGAATCCACTGGTTAAGATTCGGCCAAATCCGAAACCGAATACCGAATCCTACTCCATCCTCAGTCCATTAATGTTTCATACGCAAACGTTCTAACAGCGGCAATCTTGTGTACTGTTTAGGGTCCTTACCACCACGAGACAAATCAGTGTTGCAAATTGGACATGTAGCTGGACTAGAATCACCTTCTTTGGACTGAAAGTTCTGCCAAACAACACTTTTTCTGCTCACAAGTTCCATTTTCACTTCCTCACTCACACACTCTGAGCTACTGTATTCGAGAAACAAATACTTTGAGTAGCCGCACAGCTAGCGCCCAGATCCGTTCAAAGGCACGAGGAAATGAGGCTAACACTAGACAGTTTAATTCTTGATTAGATTCACTGTCCTTTACTTGTTTAATCATCGTACACCTGTTATGTGTATCCCTATGTTGTCTTTCTGAAATAATTATTCGGAATAATAATAAGAATAGTAAACTGTCTATGTGTTTCCCACATTTCTGTGTGCCTTTGAACGCATCTGGGTGCTAGCTGGCTACTAGACGTGTTTTTTTCTCTGAGCTTTTTTCCTGCCATTTCTCGTAATAAACCTTGTAATCCGTATATAACAACACAAACTGTTTACATGTTTATTTACACTATTTGACATCCACAAACTGAACTTCTGGACGAATCCGGTTTCCGGGATGGATCCAGCAGCCACACATGGATCTATTAGCAGCCACAGCGCGCACAGTGTAAGGGCAGGGTTCGGTTCGGTGGGAAAAATTCTAAGGTTCGGCCAGAACCCGAACCCCGTCAAAAAAGCCAATATTCGGCCGAATCCGAAACCGAATCCTGGATTCGGTACATCCAAAGTTTTCCTTCCACTCGCTCTGGCTCCTATTGACTTACACAAAACCAGTACCAGTTCCTTCTTTAGTCCCTCTTGGTCCTGGTTCTATCCAGGCCGAGCTGGTGCTAAACTGTTCTAACTGATAGTGATTGATCAGAGTGCAGCTGGAAGCCATGATTACCAAGGACTGTGACCCGTAACACAAGAGTAAAGTAAAGTAGAGTAGAGCCATGGAGGGCTGGTGGAAATGGGGCTAATGATAGAATCTGTCTCTTTTTCAGAACCAGTCTTTTTATCAGGACCAGTCTCTTCTTCAAGTCCAGTCTCTTCTACGGGGTCAGGTCTCTCTCTAAAAGCAGCGGTGCTCAGTGCGGTGCCCAGAGGCTGTTGATGTAAAACCATCCTTTCAGAAAACACAGCTCTTTCAGATCACTTACTGAGAGCGGTGAGTGCAGCCACTCGCCATGTTCAGAAAACACAGAGGAACTGGTCTCACTCTGTCATGAATGAACGCTCTCATTTCTCTTTCGTACTTTAGTTGCTTCATAAACTATAAGAAATGCAAGCAGCAGACATGGAGAAAGTTCTACAGACAGAGGTGACTTTGGACATGACTTTAGACTCTTGGAGACACCATTGTCAACATGGAGGTCAGCAAATACTAGTTATTCTCCCTTCGTTAAGTATAGAGTAATGCTAAATTGACAAATATGAAATTCAGACTCAAAGACACGGTTCCTGTCAGACTCCTCCCTCTGCTTCACACCTGTGCTCGTCACCATCTCTCTTCTGCTGCATTCAAACAGAGCCTCTCAGTCCCTGCATCCAACTGCTGATCGTGCTGCAACCCCCCTCCTCCCCGTCACCTTCTCTTCAGTGGAGAATCTTCATGTTATCGGCTCAGCGTCCATCAGGGTCTAGATCTGTGCGGTTCACTCTCTCAGAATCTCTTCTAAACTCCCTCCTGCAGATGTCATGTGGTATGTCTGCCGAGATCTAATTGCCTTAATCTTAATGAATCAATGTTCAAATGCAATAAATAAAACAGGAAAACGGCAGCAAGTCCTACGTAGCTCTGAAACAGTTGTTTTGTGCTTTACAACTTTATTTCTCTTGCTTTTTCCACCTGAGATGTTGAGCACAGGTCCAGACCAGAGCAGAGAGGATTCATGGTCCGAACCAAGTGGATTAGGTGAAAATCCACTGAAAGAAGACCAACTTTTTGAAAAAGGCTAATGAAGAATTTAGCATTTTACTTTGGGCTAGCGCAGAGAAAATGGTCTGAATGGTCTGAAAGACTGAAAAGATGGCGGCAGGCAGCTCGGGGGTGTTAGTTGCTCTGCTATTTTACTCACTCATTCTGAAGTTTAAGCTGTCGGTAAACAACTCTAAACATCATGAATGTATTGACAAAAGCCTAAACAACTACTTCAACAGCGAGGCGCACTTGCACAATCAACAGAGCAAGATCAATGGTGTCATCGGCTATGGTGAACACACGCTAGCCATCGGCTTGACAGTTTCCTATCGATACTATCAAAGGACGCAAAGAAACACTGTGTAAAACACGGACAAACAACAATGCCATGATCATATGCCTCTGCCTACTTATGTCGGGCGACATTCACCAATGCCCTGGTCCAGTCGGCATGTCAACAGATGATGTCGTATATCCACCCAAGCTGCCTACCTGTGGTTCGTCTCTAGCGGTCCCCGCGGACACCGGGGGCGGCGCAGCGGTGGTTTTGGTGTCGGTGGAGCGGCGGTGGTCCTTGCGGAGTGGTTACTGCGTGGGATGTCTGCGTGGCTCGGTGGCGGAGGGGCCCTCCGTGTGCACGGGGAGTCTGTTTGTCGCCACCGGTGGGGTCTGCTCCGATGCCGTGGCCGAGCTGGGTGCTGGGGATCGGCGGTGCGCGATTCCTGCAGGTCCGGATGGTTTTCGGGGTTTTCTGGAGAGCGGCGTTGCTGGCGTGTCTGCTCTCGTGGACTCGGACGGCATGGCGGTGAATTTGCTCTTCTCTTCCCAACTCGACGAAGGTGCTGCGGTGAGCACTGACACACGCAACGCTAACGCCATCAAATGCGTGGTGAATAAAGCGATACGGCTGAACAGGAAGTGGAAAATAGTGCACACTGTAAACAATGCACGGATAATCTGGGATCCGAAGGCCAAACCAAAAGGTTTACTAGGTGGACATCTAAATATTCGCAGTTTAAGATCAAAAAGCGATCAAATAAACCACATGATATCAGAATCGAACCTGGATTATTTTTGCTTATTCGAAACTTGGTTAAATAAAAACTATCCTACTGTGGCGGTTTCAGTTCCGGGTTATATTACCTACCGAAAAGACAGAGCTGACACCAAGGGGGGCGGAGTGATGATGTATGTGAGAGACAATATACAATGCAATGAGATTCAATGGAAAAACTCAAATGACTTAGAATGCCTAGGGTTAAACATGGCCCTCTCTCCTCAGATGTCCCTGACAATAATTGTTGTATACCGACCACCATCTGCTAGTGTTAATTTTTATGATAAGTTCAAGGACATTTTAAAGCAGTGTGATTTTAAAAAGGAGGTTATTGTGATGGGAAATTTTAACCTGAACTGGATGGACCACAAAACAAATGTTGCAAATTATGAATGGCTTCAACTTAGTCCAGATGGTGAAGGGACCAACAAGGATCACAAACAACTCTAGCACTCAAATTGATTTGATCTTTTCCAATCATCCAGAACGGATTGTTAAAACATATAACATGCTAACTGGACTATCAGATCATAATATGGTGCTAATATCAAGAAAACTAACTAGACAACGTTTCTCGGCATATTCTGGAAAAAAAGAATTTATAGGTATCCCTAAGAATAAACAAGAAGAGTTCAACTCTGCAATAAGCAACATAAACTGGGGCACTTTGCTATCAAATAATAAACTTGAAATCTCCTGTCAGAAATTTACAGAGTGCTTACGGTCAAAAATAAATGAGTTCACAATTAAGGTTAAATATAAAAGTAAAAAGTCTTCCTTTCCGTGGGTCAATGATATTATACAACAATTAATGAAAGCAAGAGACAATGGGCCTCATTCACGAACGGTTCTTAGGAACAGATTTGTACGTAAATCCAACTTACGAGGTTTTTACGAAGAAAGTGGCATTCACGAATTTTTCTCGTAACCAGAATTTCTCTTGGGCAAGTACAAATCCTACGAGTCCTCAGGAGCACTCGTACGCATTCAGTGCCGACATGTTCACACGCCGGGGTTGTCCTCTTTGGTGAAGTTTAATAAAAATACAACATTCCAGTGATATGTCCGTCATATCGATGTATGTATTTATTTATTTGTAGTAATCTTTATTAGTAATCTTTATTTATATACCGCCTTTTTCACTGCAGATCTGGCCTACTTTTTAATTCATTTTGAAATGAAATGTGCCAACGCTTTATCAAATACATTGGAAATCTTGCCGTGTATTAGTGACCCCTTCCTATTTATAGGGGGCATTTCTTTATCCACGGGCCACAGAACAACGGCATATATACTGCTGCTGCAGGAGGTTACTGGGTCCGCGCTGAGTCTCTGCGCTGGTCTCTCCCATGGATCTATACGGGTCTGCACTAGTCTCTCCCATGGATCTATACGGGTCTGCACTGGTCTCTCCCATGGATCTATACGGGTCTGCACTGGTCTCTCCCATGGATCTATACGGGTCTGCACTGGTCTCTCCCATGGATCTATACGGGTCTGCGCTGGTGTCTCCCATGGATCTATACGGGTCTGCACTGGTGTCTCCCATGGATCTATACGGGTCTGCACTGGTCTCTCCCATGGATCTATACGGGTCTGCACTGGTCTCTCCCATGGATCTATACGGGTCTGCACTGGTCTCTCCCATGGATCTAGACGGGTCTGCACTGGTCTCTCCCATGGCTCTAGACGGGTCTGCACTGGTCTCTCCATACGGATCCGTGCTGCATGCTCCTGGATCCATACGGGCCCGCGCTGGTCTCTCAAGTCTGGTCTATGCGGTCTCTCTTCGGTCCGCGCTGGTCTCTGCGCACCGGTCTCTCCAGTCAGGTCACTACAGTCTATGCGGTCTCTCCTATAGGTCCGCGCTGGTTTCTGTGTGCTGGTCACTCCAGTCTCTCCTCGGGTCTGCATTGGTCTCAGCGCTGGTCCGCGCTGGATCTCCTCCCAGGGTCCAAAATATTTTGAGATTAATCTCAAAACATTTTGAGATTCATCTTTAAAATAATACATAATATATTTTTAAATTAAGCTCATAACATTTTGAGATTAATCTCATCATATTCTTAGATTAATCTCATAATTTTGCTAGTTCGACTTTATTGTCATAATATTTCGACTTTTAAGTCAACATTTTATAACTTTATTCTATTCTATAAAAGGGTGACTCTTTTGCTCCGTGTAACTCTTTGCTTTAGGCCTGTTGCCGTTTCCTCTGGCGTCTGCACACGGCTCTGCAGTCCCTTATATGGGCATTAGTGGGCGGTTACCTATGCTAAGTACCTATGCTAATGAAGCACCTGGCACGCGCGCTCTACTTACGAGGAAATGGGATTCATCAATCTAAGAGAACAGCTGCGAACAATTCAGCGGCTTACGAGTGCGTTGATGAATCCCACGTAGGGACTTCTTAGAAATCTACTTAAGGACAACTTGAGAAGAAATTTGAGAAGTTTCTTACGAAGTTATTCGTGAATGAGGCCCAATGCTCTTAAAGTTGCTAACAAGTCAAAATTAATTTGTGACCGACAAAAATTCCCTACGCTCCGGAATAAGGTGACCAGACAATTGAGGAAAGCAAAGGCAGACTTTTTCATAACTATTATTAATAATTGTCAGGGTAACTCTAAAGCCATCTGATCACAGATCAATAAACTAACTTGCAAGGCAACCTCTTCTCATAAAACGATACAGCTAAATAATAATGGTAAACTATTACAGAATCCATTGGATGTGGCTCAGCTTCTCAATAATTACTTTGTTGATTCGGTGATGACTATAGCTAAAGGTTTTTCTTTACAAAGCCAAAATGTACCCCCTTGTTGTACAGTTGTATCTAATGAGCCTCCGCTATACCCAAGCTCTGTATCTACATCTGATGTGGCAAAAGCAATAACGCTCCTAAAGACATCTAGAGCTAAGGATGCATATGGTCTGGACACGTATATGCTAAAACAAATAAGTCAATCAGTTATCAATCCATTAACACACATCATCAATACAGTATGTCAATCAGTGAAGGGATATTCCCGGAATCATGGAAACTTGCACGTGTAATTCCAATACTTAAAAGTGGTAATGCTCAACTGACCTCTAATTACAGGCCAATTAGTATTCTACCTACTGTGTCCAAAGTATATGAAAAGCTGGTTGTCGAGCAAATAGTTGATCATCTTAGTAATAGTTCCTCCTCATTGCATCCAATGCAATTTGGATTCAGGTCCAATCATTCAACTGAAACAGCAACTTGTTATTTTCTGGAAAAAGTCAAGTCATCATTAGACAAAGGGGGAATAGTGGGGGCAGTTTTTCTCGATCTGCGGAAAGTTTGACACAGTCAACCATTCAATTTTATTAGAGAAACTTCAGAATTTTAACTTTTCCACAAAATATATCAATCTTATTAAATCATACCTTTCAGCTCGCACACAAGTCGTACAAATCAACAATAAAAATTCCCATCCATTACAATTATCCACTGGAGTGCCTCAAGGCACATCCTACAGCACCTGGACTCCCCGGGGACCTACGCCAGGGTCCTGTTCGTGGACTTCAGCTCTGCCTTCAACACAATCCTGCCATCCCTGCTCCAGGACAAGCTCTCCCAGCTCAACGTGCCCGATTCCACCTGCAGGTGGATCACTGACTTCCTGACGGACAGGAAGCAGCGAGTGCGTCTGGGGAAGAATGTCTCGGACTCTCGGATTATAAATACAGGAGCCCCACAGGGCTGTGTTCTTTCTCCCCTGCTCTTCTCCCTGTACACCAACCACTGCACCTCCAGCCACGACTCCGTGAAGCTGATCAAGTTCGCGGACGACACCACCCTCATTGGACTCATCTCCAACAACGATGAGTCCGCCTACAGGAGGGAGGTGGACCGGCTGGTGTCCTGGTGCAGTGGTAACAACCTGGAGCTGAACGCCCAGAAGACAGTGGAGATGATTGTGGACTTCAGGAAGAGCACTGTCCCCCCGCCCCCACCCTCCGTGATGGACTCCCCCATCACCTCTGTGGAGTCCTTCCGTTTCCTGGGCACCACCATCACCCAGGACCTCAAGTGGGAGCCGACCATCAGCTCCCTCATCAAGAAGGCCCAGCAGAGGATGTACTTCCTGCGGCAGCTTAGGAAAGCCAAGCTGCCTGCGCAGATGTTGGTGCAGTTCTACACGGCCATCATCGAGTCCATCCTCACCTCCTCCATCACCGTGTGGTTCGCTGGAGCCACAGTCAGGGACAAACAGAGACTACAGCGCATTGTGCGCTCTGCAGAGGAAGTGATCGGCCGCAGCCTTCCATCGCTGCAGGACCTGTACGTCGCCTGAGCTTGAGGCCGGGCTGGTCGTATCACAGCCAACCCCTCTCACCCTGCACATGGACTATTCCAACCACTCCCCTCAGGCAGGAGGCTGCGGTCCATCAGGACTAGAACCTCCCGCCACAAGAACAGTTTCTTCCCCTCTGCTGTTGGACTCTTGAACACTTCTTAACCTGTCCCCCCGCCCTTTATAAAGTCACTTTACTGCCCATCATACGTCACTTTACTTCACTATACTGCTGTCACCTTACATTGTGTGCACCATGTGCACTTGTATATTGTAAATAGTAACTGTAACTCTATTTTAAATTTAAATGTATTCTTTAGAAGTGTTTTTTATTCTTATTTTTATTATCTCTTTCTGACTGTTGCACTGAGCCAAAGCAATTTCCAAGTCTGTGACCTCCTGTTACTTACGTGGCAATAAAAATGATTCTGATTCTGATAATTGGCCCTATTCTTTTTAGCATATACATTAATGATTTACCATCAGTATCCAAGACCTGTAACACCCTTATGTATGCAGATGACACGGTCATTTTTGCACATGGCAAAACAACAGAGGAGGTTGCTTCAAAGCTAACAGAGGCCATGGCGTCGGTCACAACCTGGCTCGAAAAATCCTGCCTTCAACTTAATATATCCAAAACGGTTTGTATGTTCTTCTCAAAAAACACCAGAAATACTATAAACATTATACCAGATATTTCAATAGCAGGACAAAAAATACAAGTAGTCACAGAATTCAAATATCTAGGATTATACATTGATTCAAACCTCAGCTTCAAAACACACATCCAAAACACTAGCAATAAGATTAAATTCTGTTCATCAAATTTTAGGTTCATTAGAGACTGTTTGTCAAATGAAGCTGCCAAAATATACTTCTTTTCCATGGTCCTCTCACATATCACATACTGTATCATAAGTTGGTCAAACGCACACGCCACAACAATCAAACCCATGAAATCATTATATAAACAAGCGCTTAAAACATTGGATAAAAAACCCTACAGATATCACCATTGTCAGATTTTACAGAAATATAAGTTACTAAATTGGGACAATCTTATAAAATTCAAAAACATTTGTTTAATGTATAAAATTAAAACTGGCTGTGCTCCGCCTTCACTGAGCGAGTTTGTAAACTTCAGATCGAGTGCAGCCAGAGTAACTCGAGGGGCAGTGAGGGAAGACTGCGTCCTCCCCCTCAGAAAAACTGCATTTGGTCAGGCCGTGTTTTCTTATAAAGCCTCCCAGCAGTGGAACTCGGTGCCTGAAACAATTCGCGAGTCTTCCTCATTTAATTCATTTTTTAAAAAAGCCAAAAAGTGGCTCGTGGAGACACAGACTTGTGAGCACTAGTTATATTGAAAATGTATACTTTGCTCATTTCATGTACTATGTATGTATGTAATTATATTGTGTTTTGTAAATTGCTATGTGATTTTAATCTTGCTTTTTTAGGCTGGCTTTGACATCTGCCAAAGGGTCTACCGATGAAAATTAGCTTCTCTGCTAACTCGGGCATATTTACATTGTAAAATGTTGATTAATGTGCACTGTCCCTTTTCAAATAAATAAATCTAATATTAAGCGACTCCACCTCTGCTGCTGTGACCTGAAGGACTGTTGCTGATTATTACAGTACTATTGCTAGCATTTTAGAATTATCAATTTTATTTTTTACTTTTGCTGCTACTGGACGACTGAATTTGTCCTACGGGGATCCATAAAGTATCTATCTAGTTTTGTCTCTATCTAAGAGACAAAAACAAAAATACAGAGAAAAAACAAACAAACACACAAATTACTAAACTCTGTAAAGAAAGTTTCTCTGATGCTTCTTTCTTCTGCAGACACTAAATATTACTGCAAACATTCAACAAACCGTCTAAAGTAATCTGCGTCTTGACTCTTCCCAGATTGAAATTACAAAATTGAACAAAGCCGATCTTTGAGTCATAACCGAGACTAGTTTTCCGAGCCACATCCCGACAGAATCCAGAGAAAATACTCGTGATGCTAATGCTACGACTGCTGACTTTGTGGAAGTAGCCTAAGCCTCCGCGCTCCTTTATGATGAGGCCCCTGGCAGCGACGCCCGGTGTGCGCGTGCCAATAAATCATTCCTTAACTAGCTGTATATGACGGACTTCCCACGCACCGGACGCCCTTGATGAAATTGCCCATTTGGCAAAATCCCAGGCATCCGATCCGCGCGCTCTCCCTTGACGCTGCATATATGTGTCCTCATTACGACAGAGGACAATGTCTCCGCGTTTACATTACGAGCTTTCGCATATACGCTCATCCGGGATTATACAGAAGGCAGGGGCATCAGCAGGGGCCGCAGCAGGGGGCCCAGGGACCCTGAGCTGGGGCACTAGTCTAACTAATTTCATCCAGGGACAAAGAGACTCCACATTGGACTGCAGAAATAACTCCTGATGCAGAGGTTGGATAGAAATACAGTATATCAACCTACAATATGTATTAACACAGACTATAATCCACATGGGACCTCAAATATTCTAACACAGACTATAATCCACATGGGACCTCACTTATTCTAACACAGACTATAATCCACATGGGACCTCAAATATTCTAACACAGACTATAATCCACATGGGACCTCACTTATTCTAACACAGACTATAATCCACATGGGACCTCAAATATCCTAACACAGACTATAATCCACATGGGACCTCAAATATTCTAACACAGACTATAATCCACATGGGACCTCAAATATCCTAACACAGACTATAATCCACATGGGACCTCAAATATTCTAACACAGACTATAATCTCCATGGGACCTCAAATATTCTAACACAGACTATAATCCACATGGGACCTCACTTATTCTAACACAGACTATAATCCACATGGGACCTCAAACATTCTAACACAGACTATAATCCACATGGGACCTGAAATATTCTAACACAGACTATAATCCACATGGGACCTCACTTATTCTAACACAGACTATAATCCACATGGGACCTCAAATATTCTAACACAGACTATAATCCACATGAGACCTCAAATATTCTAACATAGACTATAATCCACAACACAGTCTATAATCCACATAGGACCTCACTAACACAGACTATATCCACATGGGACCTCATTTTTTCTAACACAGACTATAATCCACATGGGACCTCACTAATTATAACACAGCCTATAATCCACATGGGACCTCAAATATTCTAACACAGACTATAATCCACATGGGACCTCACTAACACAGTCTATAATCCACATAGGACCTCACTAACACAGACTATATCCACATGGGACCTAATTTTTTCTAACACAGACTATAATCCACATGGGACCTCACTAATTATAACACAGACTATAATCCACATGGGACCTCAAATATTCTAACACAGACTATAATCCACATGGGACCTCACTAACACAGTCTATAATCCACAACACAGTCTATAATCCACATAGGACCTCATTTTTTCTAACACAGACTATAATCCACATGGGACCTCAAATATTCTAACACAGACTATAATCCACATGGGACCTCACTTTTTCTAACGCAGACTATAATCCACATGGGACCTCACTTTTTCTAACGCAGACTTTGTACCATTTTTTTGGGGTTTTCACCTTGAGGCAAAGTCAAAATTATGCCCCGTTTCCACCGACTTGGCTCGACTCTACTTTTCAATTAAATTCACTTCACTGTATCTGTGTATCAACCTAAATCACAGAAGTTGTCTTCTTGGAGGACTTTACAAAGCTGTCGATTCGTCCACACAGATCAGAGAATCAAAAAGTTCAAACAAAAAAAAATAAACGATTAAAAAACACATGGAGACTTTGGTCCATCGGGGCAGAGACCAGTATTCATAAATTATCATAAATGTTGCTGTTTCAATCTACTCTCTCTTTGTGTTTCCATTTAACTTTAGTATTTGCTGTATGCTAGAAAGTGACCAGTAAACATGGAAATTCCTTGGTAACCATGGCTTCTAGCAGCTCTCTGGCCAAGTTAGAACACTTTCGTGCCAGCTCGGCCTGGATAGAACCAGGACCAAGAGGGACTAAAGAAGGACCTGGTACAGATTTAACAGGACCAGAGGAAATGCTGTTGAGTAGAGTAGAGTAGAGTAGAGTAGAGTACATTAGAGTAGAGTACATTAGAGTAGAGTAGAGTAGAGTAGAGTAGAGTAGAGTAGAGTAGAGTAGAGTAGAGTAGAGTACATTAGAGTAGAGTAGAGTAGAGTAGAGTACATTAGAGTAGAGTACATTAGAGTAGAGTACAATAGAGTAGAGTACATTAGAGTAGAGTAGAGTACATTAGAGTAGAGTAGAGTAGAGTAGAGTAGAGTAGAGTAGAGTAGAGTACTTTAAAGTAGAGTTGAGTAGAGTAGAGTAGAGTAGACTAGAGTAGAGTACATTAAAGTAGATTTGAGTAGAATAGAGTAGAGTAGACTAGAGTAGAGTACATTAAAGTAGAGTAGACTAGAGTAGAGTACATTAAAGTAGAGTAGAGTAGACTAGACTAGAGTAGAGTACATTAAAGTAGAGTAGAGTAGACTAGAGTAGAGTACATTAAAGTAGAGTAGAGTAGACTAGAGTAGAGTACATTAAAGTAGAGTAGAGTAGAGTAGAGTAGAGTAGACTAGAGTAGAGTACATTAAAGTAGAGTAGAGTAGACTAGAGTAGAGTACATTATAGTAGAGTAGAGTAGAGTAGATTTAAGTAGAGTAGAGTAGAGTAGATTGAAGTAGAGTAGACTAGAGTAGAGTACATTAAAGTAGAGTAGAGTAGAGTAGATTGAAGTAGAGTAGAGTACTGTACTGTACTTGGACAATCACACTATAGTAAATTATAATATAATAAATTTGAAGTATACTATTGTGTTTGTTTGTATGTGTTTGAAATTGTAAAGTCCTGCAGCATCAGATGTTGTTGGTTCTGACCCAGTCTATCCATCCACACACTCCGCTCAATCATCATCACTGCATGTAACGTCTGGGTCTGGTCCCTGTGTCTGTGATTACAATCAGTTGAATTCCATCCGACCAATCAGAAAGCGCGGGAGGCGGGTGTTGTAGTTAGATGTGGGTGACGTCAAGAGTTAGCGTCGAACGAGCAGGTTGTAGTTTGGGGAAGAATGTGAAAGTGAAGTATTCCGGTCTGGTTCTACCAAGATACTGAAGCAGGAGAAAGAGGAATGTTTAGCAAATGTAATCGCTGCAAAGATTGTGGCGCTACTCTCCACGGGCTCCGTTAGCGGCAAAGGAGATGGCTAAAGCTAAAGAAAGCTAGGCTAAATGCTAACGACTCACTCGGGCGCATTACATACGTCACGGTAAAAACTCAGATCCAATCGTTTCAATCTGCAAAAGGAGTTAGCCCCTCCCACCTGTTTACGGAGTCAATGGAAAAAATCCAGACCTTTCTACGAAATGTAAATTGTACTATGGTGTGGTACGACCAGGCTAGTTCTAACCCTAACCCAATAAGACCCAAAGTCAAAATAATAATAATAATAATAATAGTAATACTGTGGGGCTCAGAGTCTAGATCGAGACATTTTCCCTTGTTTATAAGAAAATGTGAATTTTCCATTTTCTGAAAAGGTTTTGAACTGTGGTTTAGTTTATTTGTCAACACTTATAAAATACACGCACACACTTACACACACAAACAAGTTATAAAACACACACAAAATATGAATAATCAGTGGCGGAAAAGTCTTAGTTGTGTCTCTAGGTCAAAAAGTGTGCTACACTCCAGCTACACACCAGCTACACACCAGCTACACACCAGCTACACACCAGCTACACTCCAGCTACACACCAGCTACACACCAGCTACACACCAGCTACACACCAGCTACACTCCAGCTACACACCAGCTACACACCAGCTACACTCCAGCTACACACCAGCTACACTCCAGCTACACACCAGTCTGACACCAGCGCAGCGTTGCCACGGCGATGGAGCTGATGCTAATCCTGCAGTAAAACAGTGGCTCTGGGCCTTTTTAGGTTTATGGAACAAACTGAGCGGGATTATATCTGTGCAGCTCCACTCAGCTGTGAACGCTCAGGGCCAGAACCGAGACCGGAGCGCCAGTCCGAGCGTCAGTCCGAACCTCAGTCCGAGCCTCAGTCCGAGCCTCAGTCCGAACCTCAGTCCGAGCCTCAGTCCGAGCCTCAGTCCGAGCCTCAGTCCGAGCATCAGTCCGAGCGTCAGTCCGAGCCTCAGTCCGAGCCTCAGTCCGAGCCTCAGTCCGAGCCTCAGTCCGAGCCTCAGTCCGAGCATCAGTCCGAGCGTCAGTCCGAGCGTCAGTCCGAGCCTCAGTCCGAGCCTCAGTCCGAGCGTCAGTCCGAGCCCCAATCCGAGCCTCAGTCCGAGCGTCAGTCCGTCCTCAGACGTCACAAAACAAGAGACAAACCCAAAAACTATGTGTGAGATTTCTGTGTTTAATATGTTTTTCTGTTGTAGCTGTGTTTAAGTTATTATTATTACACCATGATAAAATAATGGGACTTTTTCAACATCAGTCCTGGGTCTACAGCCTCAGTCCTAGATCTACAGCCTCAGTCCTGGATCTACAGCCTCAGTCCTGGATCTACAGCCTCAGTCCTGGATCTACAGCCTCAGTCCTGGATCTACAGCCTCAGTCCTAGATCTACAGCCTCAGTCCTGGATCTACAGCCTCAGTCCTGGATCTACAGCCTCAGTCCTGGATCTACAGCCTCAGTCATGGGTCTACAGCCTCAGTCCTGGATCTACAGCCTCAGTCCTGGATCTACAGCCTCAGTCCTGGACCTACAGCCTCAGTCCTGGATCTACAGCCTCAGTCCTGGACCTACAGCCTCAGTCCTGGATCTACAGCCTCAGTCCTGGGTCTACAGCCTCAGTCCTGGATCTACAGCCTCAGTCCTGGATCTACATGGCAAGAGCTCTGGTGTGTGTGGTGCACACCGGGGTAGTCTTGCACAGTTTTTCCAATGTGGTTTTACTGCAAATGGCAAATAAATGAATCTGAATCTACAGCCTCAGTCCTGGGTCTACAGCCTCAGTCCTGGACCTACAGCCTCAGTCCTGGATCTACAGCCTCAGTCCTGGACCTACAGCCTCAGTCCTGGATCTACAGCCTCAGCCTCAGTCCTGGATCTACAGCCTCAGTCCTGGGTCTACAGCCTCAGTCCTGGCTCTACGTTGGACTTTTGGATCATTCTCCATTGGACAGTAGCTGTTTATGAGGCACTTATAAATACATTGTGGAGAGTTTTATAACCCGACAGACCTTGAGGTGATGTTGATGTTTTGCCGCCATCACTATGGAAACAAGCCTTGGACTAAAAGTAAAAAACACATTTATGGGAGAATTTTTGATACAAGACAGTAGCATGTTTATGAGACCAACATAACACATGGTAATCTTTCACTTTGGGGCAGAAAGACGCTGTTTTTAAAGCACATAGACCTTTCTTATAGTTTGAATTATTCACACCACTTACTTATTAGCAAATCTGTGCGATACAGGAGATCCAGGAACCTCCACATTCACCCACATTTATGGACACTGGTCTCTGCCCCTCATTCACCAATGGCTCTATGACTTTTGATTCTCTGATCTGATCTGGCGAATCAACAGCTTTGTAATGTCCTACGAGATATTGGACGATACAAGAATAAATTATAATTGAGATTGATGCGGATTAAAGTTTGTAACTACAGTACCGTCTTCCATGGAGTCTCGTCCTCAGCACCTCGTTGGTACTTGGCAATAGATTAAGAAGTAGAGATGCTTTATTGGTCCCACAGTGGGGAGATTTCAGTGTTGCATCAGCCGTCACAGAACCGTAGGATAACACAAGATAAATGAACTATAACTCTGTTCTATAATACAATGCAATCTCTGACTTAAAGGAGCAGTTTGTAAAAATGTGGCCAAAAGTGGTACTGCAGCCTCTCCCGCTCTCCCTGACTCAGGTTGCCAGATTTGCAGACGAATCCAGCTGGAACCATAACAGCTGAATACACAAGAGTTTAGTCAACAACAAATCTCTCAGACAGATCTATAGGTTTTAGGGAGATGACTGTAATCTACTCACAGAGGTCACGCCACTCAGACTCAGTTATTAAGCTGTGTGTGTGTGTGTGTGTGTGTGTGTGTGTGTGCGTATGTGTGCGTGTGTGTGTGTCTATTTGTGCGTGTGTGTGTGTGTGCGTCTTTGTGTGCGTGTGTGTGTCTGTTTGTGCGTGTGTCTGTGTGTGTGTGTGTGTGTGTGTGTGCGTGTGTCTGTGTGTGTGTGTGTGTGTGTCTGTGTGTGCGTGTCTGTTTGTGTGTGTGTGTGTCTGTGCATGTGTCTGTTTGTGCGTCTGTCTGCATATGTGTGTGTGTCTGTTTGTGCGTGTGTGTGTGTGTGTGCGTGTGTCTGTGTGTGCGTGTGTGTGTGTGTGTGTGCGTGTCTGTTTGTGTGTGTGTGTGCATGTGCATGTGTGTGTGTGCGTGCATGTGTGCCTGTGTGTGTGTACGTGTGTGTGCATGTGTGTGTGTCTGTTTGTGCGTGTATGTGTGTGTGTGTGAGGAGGGATGCAGCCCAGAAAGTATTTTTGAATGAAGAAATATTAGCATATTGTACCATTACGTAACATTATATTCAGCAGCCGTCGCCTCAGACGACTTTACAAAGTTGTCGATTCACAAACAACAGATCAGAAAATCAAACAAACACAGAAACATTGACCACGGTCCAGGATGTGAGTAAATGTCCTGGGTCCTCACTGTCCCAAGACCTTATATATACTGTCCTCTGAAGCTGTGGAGGGCAGGGCCTGGTTAGTGCTGTGATGGGAGACCTCTGGGAACAGCAGCCACAGTGGGGCGGCTGCGGCTGTGGAGTGCCAAACTGTGGTCGTGTCCTTAGGCAAGACACTTCCCTCACATTAGAATGAGTCTGGTGTGTGTGTGAATGGTTGGTAGTGGTGGGAGGGGCCGATGGCACAGACTGGTTGCCTTGCTTCTGTCAGTGTGCCCCAGGGCAGCTGTGGCTACAGTAGTAGTTTGTCACCACTGTGTATGGAGTGAAAGAATGATGATGTGAAGAGACTTTGAGTGTCCAGAAAAGCTCTGTATAAAACCAATGCATTATAATTATTAAGTGCGCTGCAACACTGCAATTTCCCCACTGTGGCACGAATAAAGGCTTTTTCATCTTTTCTTATAGTACATTAGTTTTGTCTTGATTCTGCACCTTATTACAAGCTCATGATCCAGTCCTAACTATTGATAATAATAACAATAAACAAACAAGAGAAGCCTGACATTACTATCCTGGTCTCACCAAACCATTGGACTCATTTCATTTGGTGCATGTAGGAAATGATCCTGGTCCTGATCCACTGCTGAAATACTGGTTCATGCCTTCATCACCTCCAGACTACAGCCTCCTCTTTGGTCTCCCCTCCACCCATCTCCAAAAACTTCAATACATCCAGAACTCCGCCGCCCGCCCGCTCACCCACACCCGCTCCAGAGACCACATCACCCCTGTCCTCAAACAACTCCACTGGCTCCCTGTCCCACACCGCATCCAATACAAGGTCCTCCTTCGCGCCGCCTCAGATCCACAGACTCAGACCTCCTCAATCCCCTCAGGACTAAACACCGAACACTGGGGGGACCGAGCCTTCGCTGCAGCTGCCCCCACTCTCTGGAACTCACTCCCTCAACCAATCAGAAACTCAGACTCACTACAGAACTTCTCCAAACCCACCTGTTTCAGCCTTTTCTTAATTTTGTTCTTCAATGTTTATTCTTTATGTGTTTTGCAAAGCGTCTTTGAGTGTCTAAAAAAGCACTGTATAAGATCTATGCATTATTATTATTATTATTATTATTATTATGATAAAGGACCGGAGTTTACAGATGGCTAAAACCGGACTACAACAGTACAGAAACAGTAAAGTTAATGGTAGGGATTATATCAAGTTACTATATTATATTAAAATACAATACAGAACCTATTTAAACGACTGTCTTTAAAGCGCACAGTAAACAGACGAGCTTTCATACAAACAGATCAGGACTTTAAATATGTTTCCAAAGAGAAGCCTAAAATTACAGACACAGAAACAGAAACAAGTATTAAGAAGTTATAAAGTAGTTATTAAAAATACAATAGAGAATACGGCAGACGAGAAAATCCAAACCTCAAATTCTTTCTCTCATCTTTTCTTGGTTTGGTCTAAATTCTGAATCTAATCACAACTCACTACATTAGACACATTTGCAAAACGTTATGCAAAATACATACAAATAGATCATGGTTTAACGTGTTTAGAAGGAGAAGCAAAACAGAACTTATTCACAATAGAATAGAGTGGAGTGAGAGGATTAACGTTACAGACGCAGAAACGGGGATGATTAAGACGTGTTTGCCTTTTGCAGTAAAACCACATTGGAATAACTTCATCTATTTGACAATTTTAAACTACTGTGTCTTAAGTGTAAACAGCAAACAGATGAGGCGATCCAGCACTGCAATAAATGTAAAAATATGAGGTGATATTTGCTTGAATCGAGTGGTTTTTAGTCTTAATCTGACACATTCTGACTCAAAAACAAGATTTATTTAGTCAAAAACTGCTGCTTAATTTTCTCATTTCTTGTGTCTTTTTGAAACAAGATTGTTTTGCTTCGTCCCGTTGGAGAATCTTGTTTCAAGGCTCAGTCAGAATGTTCAAATTAAGACACATTTTGCCAAATTTGAGCCATTTCTGACTTATTTTCCATCACTTTTTGCGGTAAATCTCCTCCCAAACCGCAGCGATCTTACTCTAGGCTGTATTTTGACGCAGAAAGTAACACAAAAGTCGCGTAAAAACACAAAAGACGTGAATGAAAGTGTCCGGGAGCACTCACCTGCCGCAGCTCTGTTGGAGGTAAACATGCTCCTGGATCCGCGACCTCTTTACGCGTCTCCATCACGCTCCATCCCGCTCCCGGACGGTCCACTTTCTCCTCCGCTTCCTCTTCTTCGCTCTAATAACGAGACCTGGCCAACATCTGCTCTCTCTCTCTCTCTCTCTCTGTTCCCTGGGAGTGCACGGACCTCGGGGAGCTCCGGGTAATTGCGCTACTATTAATGATTGAGGTCGAGCGCGTTCGTGTGGCTGATGTGAGAGAGAGTGAAAGTATAGATGCTGCTGCTGCTGCTGGTCCCTCCTCCTCTTCCTCCTCCTCCTCCTCCGCGCGGTCTCTGTGCCAAAGTCCCGCTCATAACCTGTGCGTAACGACCTGTCCAAACAGTCGTAGCGCGCTCTGTGCCACAGACGGAGAGACTGGTGTTTTCAATAATAGTCTGTGAGCATCATGTGACGGAGACGTGGGCACAGCAGGATCAGAGCGGACCGCATCAGACTGCGCCTGTTGCTACAGCACCTCTGCTGCTGCTGCTGCTGCTGCTGCTGCTGCTGCTGCTGCTGCTGCTGCTGCTACTGCTACTGCTGCTGCTGCTCCTGCTGCTGCTGCTGCTGCTGCTGATGTGTAATAAGTACTAGCACTTTAATGTTACTGACTTTATAGAATGATGTTTTTATTTGTTTGAATGGATGGATGTGTTTCTGCTCCTGGACACTAGGATTTATCATCTGTCTCTCTCTCTCTCTCTCTCTCTCTCTCTCTCTCTCTCTCTCTCTCTCTCTCTATTTCTCTCCGTCTCTTCTCTCCTCTTTCTCCTCTCTCTCTCTGTCTCTTACTCTCTCATTCTTTCTCTCCCTAACTCTGTATCTCTGTCTCTTTGTATCTATCTTGTCTCTTCTCTGCTCTTTCTCCTCTCTCTTCTCTCCTGTCTCCCCCCTCCTTTCTCCCCCTTCTCTCTTCTCTTCTCTCTCTCCTCTCTCTCCTATCCTCTTTCTCCTCTCTCCTCTCCTATCCCTCCTCTTGCTCCTCCCTCCTCTCTCTTCTCTCCTCTCCTCTCTCCTCTCTTCTCTCCTCTTTCCTCTCTCTCTGTGCCCATTATCAACACACTTAGACTAAATGCAGCATATGTTACAGTTACCTTGATGATTACATAATATACTGTATAGACTGCATCGTATCCTCACCTCCTCCTGTGCCTCCTCCACTGGGGCCTCCTCCTCGGGCCTCCTCCTCCTCCTCCTCCTCAGGCCACCTCCTCGGGCCTCCTCCTCCTTGGGCCTCCTCCACTGGGGCCTCCTCCTCAGGCCTCCTCCTCGGGCCTCCTCTACTGGGGCCTCCTCCACTTGGGCCTCCTCCTCGGGCCTCCTCCTGCTCCTCCTCCACTTGGGCCTCCTCCTGCTCCTCCTCCACTTGGGCCTCCTCCTCAGGCCTCCTCCTGGAGGGATATGGATTTTTTTTTATGTGGAGAAAAAACGATCTTCTCTGGGTTCAACAACAGTTCTATAAGTGAAGACGACTGTTTCACCTGGTACCAGACGACTGTTACACCTGGTACCAGACTAGTGTTACACCTTGTCCTGGTTCATGGTCCATTTCAAACAGCTGGGTTATTGAGAAAGGATTTAGATTTAGTTTTTATCCTTTGGCCTCACACTGGCAGGAGACCAGATCACTACAGTACTATGAGAGGAGAGAGACCAGAGAGACCAGAGAGACCAGAGAGACCAGGGAGACCAGAGAGACAAGAGACCAGGGAGACCAGAGACCAGAGAGACCAGAGAGACAAGAGACCATAGAGACCAGAGACCAGAGAGACCAGGGACACCAGATAGACCAGAGAGACAAGAGAGACAAGAGACCATAGAGACCAGAGACCAGAGAGACCAGCGACCAGAGAGACCAGGGACACCAGAGAGACAAGAGAGACAAGAGACCATAGAGACCAGAGAGACCACAAACCAGAGACCAGAGAGACCAGCGACCAGAGAGACCAGACAGACCAGAGAGACAAGAGACCAGAGACCAGAGAGACCAGGGAGACCAGAGAGACCAAAGAAACCAGAGAGACAAGATAGACAAGAGACCATAGAGACCAGAGACCAGACAGACCAGACAGACCAGAGAGACGAGAGACCAGAGAGACAAGAGACCAAAGACCAGAGAGACAAAAGACCAAAGACCAGAGAGAGAGAAACCAGAGGGACTTGACTAGAGACGAGATCAGACACCAGAGAAACCAGAGAGACTAGAGAGATCAGAGAGACAAGACACCAGAGACAAAAGACAAGAGACCAGAGAGACCAGAAACCAGAGACCAGAGATAATAAAGACCAGGGACACTAGAGACAAGAAACAAGAAACAAGAGAGCAGAGAGACCCAAGAAACCAGAGAAACCAGAGACCCCAGAGAGACCAGAGAAACCAGAGAGACCAGAGAGACCAGAGAGACCAGAGTGACCAGAGAGACATCAGAGACCAGAGACCATGAAAGACCAGAGGCGGGAGCTGGTGAGTGGGCTCCGCAGCAGCTGGACAGAGACGGAGCCCACGCACAGAGAGCTGCAGGGGGTGGATCAGAGCAGGAGAACTGAAGAGAAATGATTTCTTTTTCTGTGGATACATTTATTTCTCTAATGACATTTTTTTTTTTTTTTTAGGTAATAATAATAATAAAACACCAGACAACAACTGTTTCAGAGCGACTTGCTGCTGTTTCAAGCACCATATCTTATAGCCACATTTCTGGTACAGTTGGAACCATGTAATCCTGACGTGTGTACAAGCTGAAGATTATTACACCAGACAACAGCACAATATGTCTTCAGTCATGATCCACCCTCCCCCTGGGGACAGGAGCAGAAGCCAGGCCCCTAAACATTCTGTCCAAACGGGTTAGAGTCCTCTGCACATACATACAACACACACACACACACACACACATTCGTACACATATGTATAGCCTTTTGTAGACATTTCTGAATTACTCGTGGACATTGGAACCGCTCACATTGGATTGGCTTTATTTTCCTGTATTTCATTGCTGGTCTCTCTCTGGTCTTTCTCTGGTCTCTGTCTGTTCTCTCTCCTCTCTCTGGTCTCTTTCTCTGGTCATTCTCCGCTGTCTCTGGTCTCTCTGGCCTCTCTCCTCTCTCTGGTTTCTCTCTGGTCTCTTTCGCTGGTTTCTCTCCTCTCCCTGGTCTCTCTCTCTAGTCTCTCTCTGATTTCTCTCTGGTCTCTCTCTGGTTTCTCTCAGGTCTCTGTCTGTTCTCTCTCCTCTCTGGTCTCTTTCTCTGGTCATTCTCCGCTGTCTCTGGTCTCTCTCTCTAGTCTCTCTCCTCTCTCTGTTCTCTCTCTGGTCTCTCTCTCTAGTCTCTCTCTGGTCTCTCTCTGTACTCTCTCTGGTTTCTCTCTGGTCTCTCGCTGGTTTCTCTCCTCTTCCTGGTCTCTCTATCTGATCTTTCTCTGGTCTCTCTCCTCTCTCTGGTCTCTCTCTCTCCTCTCCCTGATCTCTCTCTCTAGTTTCTCTCTCTCTTCTCTCTGGTCTCTCTTCTCTTCTGCAGAGAGACAGAGACAGTGTTGATGTGATGGTTTTCCGAGGCTGGTGTGAATAATATAGAAGCAGGAGTTCCTCTGCTCTCCACAAACCTCCGACCAGAGCTGGACTGGCCATCGGGCGTACCGGGCAATGCCAGAAGGGCCGATGCCCATATTTGGGCCGGTCTGTTTGCCTCATACAAAAAAGATGTTTGTGAAAAGTGTAAATCCGTTGAGAACTGTTCGAAGGGGCGCGCGTGTCCGCGGGGCACCTGCTGTATGTACTGGAACGGGATTCTACCACCTCAGCGGCCGCAGTGTTCCGGCATCCAGCGGCTCTGAGCTGGACGCGGCAACCACTCACAACACAACACGGTGAGCGCGTAGCCGCAACGTGACCATGTACCCAAGACCATAAACGTGCACAGGACCATGCGTGTCTTTGCGTAATTTGTGCACCCAATAAATACACCGCTGCAGGAAACAGTCCGCGTCTCCCTCTCCTCTCGAAGTGCGACTAAATTAAAGCTCGGGTGCCTAAATTTCCCATTGCATTAAAAGTTCATGTTTGAGCCCAAAATTAAAATGTTGTGAAAAAATTAAACAGATTTAGAGCCAGCCAATGGCTGACATTATGCATTTCAGACTTTTTTGACCAATTCTCATCCCTGTAACAAACAACAGTGTTGTCTGCGTCCACCTCCCTCACTCTGAGACATGTTTATTACTCTCTTGTAATGTAGACTATTGTACTTTATGTTATTGTTGAAACTGCACATATCCTGATCCTCTACAGTATGCTTCCACATACTGTATAAACCAGGGGTCGGCAACCTTTAGTGCTCCTCCAGTGGCTCCTGGAGCCTTTTCAAAAATGTCTGAAAATGGAGTGGGAGGGCTATATTTTATTCCTAATTTGAATGTGGTTTCTGTAGGAGGAAAAACATTCTTAACGTTTTTCAATGCTGTAAAAATGTGTATAAGTAATATTCAATTTCAACATTTCTGTCAACGTAGTGAGTCATATCCTGTGGCGCGGCCCCGCGGCAGACGGCCGCTGCTGTAAACAAACCGGCGTGTGCGCACGGATCCCAAAGATAAAAAGAGAACGAGTCGATAATAAGACTGGACTAAGAACAAGACTGAACATTTGCTTTCAGTCAATGAGGAAGGACTGCTTCATGTTTGCGATGTAATAGGAAGTTTTGTTGCAACACGAGGAACAATGAAGCACTAAATACCGTTCACAGGGATTACGTGAAGGATTCTTTCATACAAAATCCGGAGCACCTTTTTCAGACTTCAAAAACCTCCGCAAAGACTGTGAAAGAAAAGGCCATTAAGGACATTCAGCTCCAGCAAACTTCAGCCTGTGACGTGATCGATATGAGCGGACAGTGCAGGTGTGTGACCTTTGAGCCAAAAAGCAGATTTATTTACTGTATTTCTACAGTTGCATGAAGGCAAAAAAATGGAAGTCAAAGTTAAAGCAGAGTCATCACGTGGTGCGTCATTCTCTCCAGGACACGCTGCAGTGAAAACACACATTTGACAATCATGAATGCTTATTATGTATTTGTAGCCTTTACTTGGTCATTTAGATATTAGGCTAATGTAGCTACATTGTGTAACCTTCATATAAGCTTTATACAAGGCTGTTATTTTTTTGCGGCTCCAGACAGATGTTTTTAGTATTTTTTGTCAAATATGGCTCTTTGAACCTTTTGAGTTGCCGATCCCTGGTATAAACAAACTGTAAAAAACGTGACAAAAACATGCCTGGGCCGGTAAGAAGGAAAAAATGCCCGGGCCGTTTTTTTGTCCCAGTCCAGCCCTGCCTCCGACTCTGAAATGTTAATGTTCTCTCTGACAGACTGGCTGCTCCGGGGGAGACACGCTCAGATGTGGAGACCGGCTTTTAAAAGCTGTATGTTGACGAGTGTGTGTGTGTGTGTGGGTGTGAGTGTGTGTGTGTGTGTGTGTGTGTGTGTGTGTGTGTGTGTGTGTGTGTGTGGGTGTGTGTGTGTGTGTGTGTGTGTGTGTGTGTGTGTGTGTGTGTGTGTGTGTGTGTGTGTGTGTGTGTGTGTGTGTGTGTGTGTGTGTGTGTGTGTGTGTGTGTGTGTGTGTGTGTGTGTGTGTGTGTGTGTGTGTGTGTGTGTGTGTGTGTGTGGACCGCAAGAAGCAATGTAGGGCAGGGTATTACTAACTATAAACAGTCTAATAAATACCGGTTTATTGGGGGTTTGGAGGTTGGAAAGACTGGCTTGAAAAATATTTTGTATTTTTGCTAGTCAATATGGCTTTTCTCAATACATATCAAAAGCCCAAAGCCCCAGGACTGAGGCTGTAGATCCAGGACTGAGGCTGTAGATCCAGGACTGAGGCTGTAGATGCAGGTCTGAGGCTGTAGACCCAGGACTGAGGCTGTAGATCCAGGTCTGAGGCTGTAGATCCAGGTCTGAGGCTGTAGATCCAGGACTGAGGCTGTAGATCCTGGACTGAGGCTGTAGATGCAGGACTGAGGCTGTAGATGCAGGTCTGAGGCTGTAGACCCAGGACTGAGGCTGTAGATCCAGGTCTGAGGCTGTAGATGCAGGTCTGAGGCTGTGAATAGCAATGAACAGACTACAGCTGAAATCAGGATGGTCATACAGTATGTGTCAAAAAATTCAGCGGGAATCTCATATGTTTGATCTGATTCACCAGAATTCAATCCTGGTCTCGCTCTGGTCTCTCTCTCTCTCTCCTCTCTCTATGATCTCTCACTGGCCTCTCTCTGGTCTCTCCCTGGTCTCTCCCTGGCCTCTCTCTGGTCTCTCTCTCTGGTCTCTCTCTGGTCTCTCCCTGGTCTCTCTCCCTGGCCTCTCTCTGGTCTCTCTCTGGTCTCTCTCTGGTCTCTCTCCGGTCTCTCTCTGGTCTCTAGTTCATGTAAATCTTTGATTTCTGGAGGATTACGCACTGTGTCCTTTGAGGATGTAATTGTCTGTTGGTGTGAAGACCCGCAGTGGAGAGGGCAGCGGAGAAGTGACAGGAATCCTTGTGGGAGAAAGCATTTCACA